ACCGACACTTGTCCCTGTATGTCTTTTTCATCCTGGCCAACTTCCTGGGTGACAAGTGCTGTCTCACTGTGGTTCCGATTTGCGTTTCCCTAAAGGCTAATGATGTTGAGCATCTTTTCGTGGACTTCTTGGCGGGAATAAAGATTCTGTGTTTCTAACGTCGCCTCAGCCCTGCTTGCCAGAGGGCCCAGCTTGCAACAGGGGGAGGGGCGTATCGGGTGGAGGGTGGAAGAGGAGCCGAAGTCCCTCTCTTCCTCTGTTCCTCTCTCTGTTTCTTTGCCTGTCATCACTCCCTTCTCTTTGCCCATAGTTTCTGGAACACACTGGGTATGCCTGGACTGTTTGCAATTCTTTCTTTTCAATTAGAAGCACAAAAATGTCAGCTGGACACCACCCCATGGCAACTACCCCATAACAAGTTATGGTTTTTTTCCGTGGAGCATTCCAGAGACCGCCCAGCTCAGCTGGACCTGCAAGCCCTCAGTCACCGAGGGGCAGAGCTGGGCTTGACCCATGGTCATCTTCTAGCTCTCAGATTCTGCATTATCACCATCCTTGCTCTTCCATTTCAGTTTTCTCCCTTCCTCTGTGCCAGTCTTTTCTCTCCAGCTAAGGCGTGCGAGCTCGGAAGGGGCAGGGATGATGTCCCTCTCTTGTCCCTTCCTCATTGCCAGCACGGGGCTGGAAGTTGGCAGAGACTCACTGCTGACAAGAGGCTTTGTGGCGAGTGGGAGCTGGGGATCAAGTCTGATGGCCTGGGAGCTGTAGGAGGCTGGGGTCCCCTCCGGCTTGTTCACCCAGTGCCCGGGATAGTGACAGTGGGTGGCAGGCTGTGGTGTAATTAAGAATATATCTGGTCTTTTTCCGAGGTTCCTGACACAGAGCTCCTAAAACCCTTTTATTTCCTGAGGGACAGGAGTGTCTTTTCTTAATGAGCCCATTCGAGCACACCTGAGTTTATGCCCAGGTGACCCAGGGTGGGGCCCCAGAAGGCTTCAGGATGGGGTCTGGTCACCAGAAAGACCAGCAATTAGAGGTGGGAACTCTCAGCCCTACCCCAGTCCTCTGGGGGGGGGGTGCGGGTTGGAGGCTGGGTTGTTAGAACTCTTGAACTAAGACAGTTGGAGGGCTTTGGGACTGGGGGACACACTGAGCTGCTGGGAGGGTGGGCACACCCCGGGTGGGGGGGTGGAAGCTCTATGCCTGCCTCAACTCCTACACCTTCCCCTGTGCATCTCTTGCATTTGGCCGTTCCTGAGTTGTGTCCTTTAAAAATAAATCAGCGATCACGGGGTGCCTGGGTGGCACAGTTGGTTGACTGCCGACTCCTGGTTTTGGCTCAGGTGGTGAGATCGAGCCCTACATCAGGCTCAGCGCTCAGCTCAGAGTCTGCTTGAGATTCTCTCTCCCTCCTGCTTGTGTTCTCTCTCTCTTTCTCTACAATAAATAGATCTTAAATAAAACAAACCAGTGATCCTAAGTAAAGCCCTTTCCTGAGTTCTATGAATTCTAGAACCTGCGGAGGAGGTGGTGGGAACTGCTGAATTTTGGTGGCTGGGGCAGAAGTGTGGGTCACTGGGGGACCCCACCTGTGGCTGGCATCTGAAGTGAGGACGGTCTTGTGGGACTGAGCCCTTAGCCCACGGAGTCTGCTGCTAACTCCAGGTAGTTAGTCTCAAAATCATAGGGAATCGTTGGACACCCAGCTGGTGGCAGAGAATTGGTGTTGGAAAAAAACACACACAAGCCCTCAATGAAAGTTTGTTGAATAGACAAGGAATAATAGCTCACATAACTTAAGCACTATATCCTGTGTCCTTTGCTGAATGCTTTCCACTCACTCATTCAAGAAAACACTTTTGAGTAAGTAGTCCATGCCATGTGCTCAGCTTGGCATTTGGGGACAGCTGTGAATAATTAAGTCAATTTAACAAATACATTTTTAGCAACTACCACACACCATACACTGTGCTGGGTACTGGGACTACAGCTTTGGGGCAATTCAAGTCTATACGGCACCTACCTACTGAGTCCCTACTATGTGTCAAGGCACTACTCCAAGCCCGAAAGATACGGCAGTGACCAGACAGTCTGAATTCCTACCCTGTGTGTATTTTGCAGAGGCCCTAGGTGGTAAGGCCTCTGACTTCATTCATTTTACACTTGAGGAAATTGAGGCTCAGAGAGGTTGTCTCTCAAAAGGTCACACAGCCAGGGTGGTGAGGCTAGACCCAAGCCCTGGCCCATCAGACATCAAGCTTGAGTTCTTACTCAAGGTGTAGACTGAATGTTAATATTGGGGTGGGGAGTCCTGGGGCCCACCTTGCTCACTACTTCGGGGCTCCTACATCCTCCGTGCATGCCTCCTTCTTCTGGGCCCCCTGGCCCTGCTCCCTCCTCTCTGATACACAAAATTCCGACCGACCGCGGCTGGCGGTGTTCCTGAGAGACACCCCCAAGTGCTGTAATGTGTTTTTGTGCACAAAACCTCGTGTTCAGCAAATTGCTGTGACCAAGACCCTATCCAGTTACCTGCCGCATCAGAGGTATGTTCTGTGGCGGTGCCAAGCAAAGCAGAGAATAATACCTCTAAGAATTTTAACCATTAGATAGAAAAAGTGCAGCCTTGGCCAACTCTGGCGGGCGCTGCCGCACAGGAACCAGATACAAAGCAAACAAGAAGGGCCTGTCACACGTGTGGGCCGAGGCCTCTCCTGGAGGGTCGGCTGCCCTGGTGCCACCGTCACAGTCACGTTGTCAGAGCCATCGGGTTGCTGGCTGGCTGGAGGCAGGTGGCTCTGGGGTTTCCAGGCCCTGCGATGGCCCTGCCCCGCCAATCCATCCGTTGCCTTGGTGACTTGTGGGCTTTGAGGAAGCGACAATCTTGCCGAGCCTCACTGGGGAAGGTAATACCCCTGTCACTTGGGAGGACCAAAATGAGTTAATATAAGCAAAGAGAATGGAGTGTGACCACCCTTGGGCTCTGTGGCTGTCACCACGAGTCAGATAGCCAGCTCCCGATTCTCTGGGAGCACCTGCTAAGGCCTTGCCTGGTACATCCCAGTGAGTAGGGCAGATGAGGTCCCTGCCCTTATGAAACTTATAGTCCAGCGGGGGGCTGGGTGGCATGATCACACATGACATTTGAACTAGGTTTATGACAGAAGGTTTTCCCTAGGTGGGAGAGTCAGAGAAATCACGCTGGCGGATTCTGGGGGTGCCTGAGCTGAGACTTGAGCAATGAGGAAGTCATGAGGGTGGAGGAGGGAGGGACATGCTTTCTAGGTAGAGGGAACAGCACTTGCAAAGGCCTAGTGGCAGGAGGAAGACTGATGACCCCAAGGACCTGAGATAAGGCTGATGAGGCTGGAATGCAGAGTGACAAGAAACTGGAAGATGGGGCTGGGGAAATGGGTAGGGACCAGGTCTTGCAGCAATTTGTAGGCCAAGTGGAAGGTAAGAGCAATGGGAAGCATTATAGTGTTTGAGTCAGGTGGTGACTGGATGGGATGGGCATGGTAATAAAGCTCACTTGGCTGCAGTGTGGAACATGGGGCACAGGGCACTGGGGGGGAGGCCAGAAGGCTAGAGAGGGGGTCTTCACAGTAGTCCAGATGAGACAGGGTGGTGGCTTGGATTAGGATGGTGGCAATGGGTGGAAGGAGGTGACAGTGTTGTGAGGTCTTGCTGCTGTGGTGGGCGAGGTAGGCTGGTGGGACTGCCTCGAAAAGTAACATTGCCACCCGGAGTTGCTATGGATGGGACGGAGAACCAGATGGGGTTGTTCAAGCCATACTTAGTTCCCTGCAAATCTTTGCCCCGAAAAACCACCAAAGACCAAGAAATCTCTGTGCTGGACACAGCTCTTCCTGTGCGCACACCTCCCAGAGTCTCTCCAGATGCCCAGGCGGGGTCATGTCAAGTCTCCTGAGGATGGACCTGCCGCTGTTCCCACCCAGGCACTGCAGGGACCGGGGTGGTGGTTGTGGTGGTCTGACCCTGTCTCCTCCACACTTATGGCCAGCCTCTCCCGGCCAGAAGCCAGTCCTGGCATCTGGGGGTTTTGTGCAGTGGTTTTAGACCTGGTTTCGAAGTCGGACAGACCTAGGTTTGGGGCCAGGTTCCACCAGTTACCAGGAGCTGTGGCCTCATGGGACACGTTACTTCTCCATATCTGTTTCCTCATCTGTGGAATGAAGGGAGCACCTAACTCATAGGTTGTGGTGAGGATTTAGAGGAGTTATCCACATAGAGTGGATAGATATCCACTTATCCACTTATCCATAGAATGGATCCCAGATAGCTTTAGAGGAGCTATTCACATAGCAGGGGCTCAGCTCAGTAAACATGAGGTCTTATTATTATTACTAGCTGTAAAATGGGAACAATGATCACAAGGCTATTGAGAAGACTGTGCCTACTGCTGTGCCTGGCGTGTGGTCAGTGCTCCCAAGGTCAATGTTATTGACCCTTGCAACAGTGCTAAGTCAGAAATAGCTTCTGCCTCTGCCACTGGATTCTGGATACTCATACCATAGGATGAGAGGGAACTATTGAAAAGGATGCTGTAGGGAGCATCTGGGTGGCTCAGTGGGTTGAGTGTCTGCCTTTGGGTCAGATCATCTTCTCTGGGTCCTGGGGTGGTTGGATTCCCTGCTCAGTGGGGAATCTGCTTCTCTCTCTCACTCTGCCCCTCCACCATGCTCAAACTCTCTCTCAAATAAAGAAATAAAATCTTAAAAAAAAATAAAAGGATGCTATAGGAGAATGAGGTGGGAACTTGGTTATCCTATAACGTTAAGGATCGGGATCAAAAATTGCTGTGGCCTGAACATATCCCTATAAAAGTTAAATGTTGAAATCCTAGCCTCTAAAGGTGATGGGGTTAGAAGGCGGGACCTTTGGGAGATGCTTGAGTCATGAGGGTGGAGCCTCCACAAATGGGATTAGTGCCCTTAGAAAAGGGACCCTAGAGAGATCATGTGCCTCTTTCACTATGTGAGGACTCAGGGAGGAGGTGCTGGCCATGAACCAGGAAGCAAGCCCTCGTCGAATGGCAACCATACCGGCTCCTTGACCTTGACTTCCCAGCTTCCAGAGCTGTGAGCATCACGTTTCTGTTGTTTATAAGCTAGTCTGGTTTTGTAAGTGGTATTTTGTTATAGCAGCTCAAGTAGACTAAGGCAAAACTGTTCAGGTGGCAGATGGGATAGTGGTGATTTTTTTTTTTTTATGATAGTCACAGAGAGAGAGAGAGAGGCAGAGACACAGGCAGAGGGAGAAGCAGGCTCCATGCACCGGGAGCCCGACGTGGGATTCGATCCTGGGTCTCCAGGATCGCGCCCTGGGCCAAAGGCAGGCGCCAAACTGCTGCGCCACCCAGGGATCCCGATAGTGGTGATTTTTATTTGTTGTTTAGATTTGTCATCATTAAAAAAAATTTCAATTATGAACATGTGTTTATTTTAGAGCCTGAAACACTATTATAATAGGATGTTTATGAAGAGTTTTCAATGACAAGAGAACATACTTGTAATCCAATGTGAAATTTAAAAAAGAAATTAGATCACAAAATGGTTTGTAGTGTTGGCTCATCTACACAAAGTGAAGTCCCCGGAAGGAAATAAATCTGCCATGACATCATTGTTTGGTATCTTGGAGTGAGGGTGTAGTCATTTTATTTATCTATTTGAAAGAGAGCCTGAGCAGGGGAAGGGGCAGAGGGAGAAGCAGACTCCCCACGGAGCAGGAAGCCCAAAGTGGGGCTCGATCCCAGAACTCTAAGATCATGACCTGGGCTGACAGCAAATGCTTAACCCACTCAGCCACCCAGGTGCCCTGGATGTGGTGATTTTAAAACAAGGCCTTGAATCCTTTGACCTTCTTCCCACTGAGAATCGGAACCTATGGCTTCTCTCTCCCTTGAATCTGGGTGGGCTTATGACTGCTGTGGCCACTAGAACATGGCGGAAGCCACATTACATAACTTCCATCCTTCCCTCCTTCCTTCCTTCCTTCCTTCCTTCCTTCCTTCCTTCCTTCCTTCCTTCCTTCCTTCCTTCCTTTTAAGTAGTCTCTATACCCAGTGCAGGGCTTGAACTCACTACCTTGAGATCAAGAGTTTCATGCTCTACAACTGAGCCAGCCAGGCACCCCTTCACTTTGTAACCTCTAAGGCCGGATCATAAAAACCCATGGAGCGGGGCACCTGGGTGGCTCAGTTCGTTATACATCTGACTCTTGATTCCAGCTCAGGTCATGATCTCGGGGTCCTGGGATGCAGCCCTGCATTGGCTTCCCGCTGAACAGGGAGTCTGCTTGTCTTCTCCCTTTGCCCATTCCCCTGCTTGCTCTCTGTCTCTCTCTAAAATAAATAAATAAACCTTAAAAAAAAAAAAACAAAAAAACCAAACAGGCCAAGGAGCTTCCTTCACTTGCTAGAACGTCCTCTCTTGGTTCCCCGAGCCTTTAGGTAAGAAGCCTAACTCCTCTGAGGCCACCACATTGTGGAGAAGCCTAAGCCACATGAAGAGGCCATGAGCAGGCACTTAGGTCACCAGTCTCAGTTGACTCATCCCAGCCCAGGAGCCAGATATGTGAATGAAGAAGCTTCTAGATGATTCCAGTCCCTAGGTGTTTGAGTCTTCCTAGCTGAGGCTTCCCATATCATGCAGCAGAGACAAGCCATCCCTGCTGTGCCCTGTTCAGAGTCTGGGAGCATGCCTTATGTGGCCATCTTCTGCCAGTAAATTTGGGGTGGTCTGTTATACAGTGATAGGTAATCAGGACAGGGGGAATATAGGAAATTTTCATCCTTTTAACTCGACTTTTCTGGAACACTGATGTTTTTTATTGTGAGCATATGTTTTTATTATTAAGGAACTATAAGGAAGTTTTTATTGAGTGAATAAAGAGAGCACAGAAAGAAAGGAAACAGAATGAATTAAAGGCAAGGGAAGAGAGAGGTAGGGAGAGAGGAGGCAGGGGGATTGTTTTTTTGGGAAGGCCCTGACTCCATCCCTCTCAGGAATCATGGAGCTCATGAAAACGTCCCATGGGCGTTTCTTCTTCTAAGGCCCATTCCCTTGAACTTTTCTGCCCTTGGACCATGACTGAAGGGCACAATAAATGGCTCTGAGTCAGAGAACTTGGCTGTGGGCTGTGTGTCTTTGTGCAACTCACAGCCTCTCTGAGCAGAGTTCCTCACCTGCTACTCGGTGTATTCTTGGACACAGCTGGAATGTGGAAGAAGCAGGATTCAAATCCAGGACTGGCTGACACCTGCCAGGGCAGCTCTCTTCCTTCATGAAGGGGTCCAGTTAAAGGTGTGAGAGACAGTCGGGAGGAGAAAGCTGCTGCCAGCCAGCTGCCCCTGGGACCTCTCTGTGCAGGCGGGGGCCAGGGTGCTAGGCACAGAGCAGGGAGGCTGGGGGCCCAGGCAGAGGCCAGGACTGCTCCAGTCCCTTCAGAAAGCTAAGTGATCCCTCCCATAAACCTTTCACCCCTGCGTGCTTTGAATGGAGCCATTCAGAGGAGGAAACCTGACCTGCCGATGTTTTATGCATGGTCCGGCTGTGCCAGCAGCAGCAGGCCTCCTGGGAGGTATTATTTTTAGCCAAAGCATATGAGTGAGCTGGGGGCTTGAAAGAAGCAGGCTGGTCACCCACCTGTCCAGCCCCCTCACCAAGGACCCCTTCCCTTGCTGGGTGGCCAGAGGCAATGTTAACACAATCTGTGCCCAGCACCCCGGGGGCGCTGGCCCGAGCCGGGCAGCCGCTGGGGGTGTGGGAGTCTCATTGTTCCAGGCTGTCTGTTGTGTAGCCAAATAAAGCAGCTGGCCACCTCTGACACCTGTGTGGCCACCTCCCATGGGGAGCTCCCCCCCTCCCCTTCCAGGTATTGGCTCTGAGTAAGGCTGAACCCAGGGGAGGGAGGCGAGCACGTGTCTGAGACTCCGTGTGAGGATGTAACCTTTGCAGCCTTTTCAAATTCCTCTGCTGCTGCAAAACATCATCTGGCTGCTGGGGGTGCCAGCTTTCATCACTCCCAGCCTCTTCTGGGGCAGTGTCCCCAGCAGGTAGGGTGTCCATCACAGGGTAGATTGGCAGCAGATCCCGGGTAATTAACATCTTTTTCGGGCAGGTGTCCACCAGCTTCTCTACCCCTCCTGCCCTGCTTCCAACTGAGTTTCAGCGTCAGGGTGGCTAGTGTTTATGGAGTGCCTAGTCTGTGCTCAGTGCTTTTTGGTCCATTTCTTCTTCTTCTTTCTTTTCTTTTTAGTTATTTATTTAAGAGAGAGAGATTGAGAGCAAGCAGGAACAGGAAAGGGTGAGAGGCAGAAGGAGAAGCAGATTCCCCACCGAGCACAGAGCCCTACACGGGGCTCGATCCCAGGACCCTGGGATCATGACCTGAGCTGAAGGCAGACACTTAACTGAGTGAGCCACCCAGGTGCCCCAAGCCCATCACTTAATCTGCACGACCTTTGGGGGCAGGAACTGCTGGGCTTTATTTTGATGGAAAAACAGGGAGTTAGGGCAGAGCCAGGACCTAGACCCTGTCTGACCCAATGGAGTATTTTCTGTATGCATGGAGGCCTGACTTGGTGACTTCTTCGGGTTAAGAGCTAAAACCCACAGCTCAGGGGTGTTTTCTCTTTTCCCTTTTTCTCCTCTTGCTGAATCATTAGAAGCAACAATATGTGGACATGGAAGGAACAGTGGAGATCACCTCTTTCAAGCTGTTCATTTCTCAGATGGAGAAACTGAGGCTGAGAGAGAGGCGTTCTCAAGATCACTTGGTTGCCCAAGGGCAGTTCCCAGTGTGCAGACCTCACATGGCTCCTTCTGTTCCAGCCCAAGATCTTCTAGTATCTCATCTTCCTGGGCTTCTGTCTGCCTGTCAATAGGACCAGTCATTCCAACTGAACACACATGCTATCATGGATGTAAAGGTGCTTGACGGACAGATGGCTGATTCCCCAATGCCAGCCCTCTGAGCACCCCTGTCCCCTATTTGTCAGGCTGGTTGCAGGCCAGCTTGTAACCCCTCAGGTAGGCATCCACCCGAGGGGTGAGGACAGGGCTAAGAGAGATTGCTAGATTGGTCACTGCATTAATAATGCTAAATGACTAAGGTCCTCACCAGCCAGAAATCTCCCCGGGGCTTTTTATTTTTAAAAAGATTTTATTTATTTATTTATTCATGAGAGACACACAGAGACAGGCAGAGACATAGGCAGAGGGAGAAGCAGGCTCCCTGCAAGAAATCTGATACAGGACTCGATCCCAGGACCCTGGGATCACAACCTGAGCTGAAGGCAGATGCTCAACCACTGAGCCACCCAGGTGCCCCACCTCAGGTCTTTCAGTGAGAGAGAATTCAATAGAAGGCACTGACTAGATAAGACAGGTCAGAGCAAGGTAAGATGTCCAGGAGCTTTGCAGAAGCCGGAAGCTACTACCACCCAGGGCTGGCCTTGCCAGAGCCCCGGGGGCTGGGGCAGGGGCTAGAATCTAGTTGGGGGCTATCTGGTGGGAGCAGGACCATAGACCTGACGAGGTTTTTGTGGGAGACACCACAGGAAGCAGAGATGCAGGGGAGAAGGGAGAAATCCCTGGGCTTTTCCCTCCTCTCACTCTCCGCTGTGCCTCCAGTTGGCCAAACTGACCCAGAAGCCAAGGGAAAAGCCAGCCTGGCAAAGGAGTCTGGGAAATGTAGTTCCAGGGATAAGGGGCCGAACAGGAGGAGAGGGAGGACAGGATCTGGATCAGCAGGTAGTGAGTGGCCCAAGCTCCGAGGGCCCTAAGGCTGTAACCGCGGCCACTGGTTAAGCTCTCACCAGCTGTTCTAGTGCAGTAATTGCTTCCCCCCCCCCCCCCCCCCCCCGTGGTAACACTTCTACAGATGAGGAAGCTGAGACCCAAAGCAATGAAGTCTCTCAGTCAGGAGGTGGGAAGAACTGGCTTCAATGCTGGCCTCATGCTGGGACCCTGCCCTCCTCCTGCCAGACACCCCCAGGGCTGGCCTCCACCTGCTTGGGAGCATGCGCTCTGGGCTCAGTGGCCCCTCTCTCAGTAGCAGCTCGTTGTTACCGCGGTCTTACAGCCCATCTTACAGCCCAGGACATGCAGACAGGTTACAAGAACCCCCCCGGGGGGGGGTCACCCAGCTCGTTCGTGGCCGTGCTGGGGGTTCCGACCCTCGGCTTCTGGCTTCAGAGCACACGCCCTTCAGAGCGCAGGGACCCCTGCCCCTGTCCAAGGTGCTCCCTGAAATCCCACTCTTGGGATCCCCGGGGCCCTCTAGCTCATTAACTCTGCCCTGTGGCCGGCCTGGCGTGGCTTAGGCATGACCCGCACGCCCAATTAGAGGAATTCAAAACGTCGTTTATTTATCAATGACTTAAGCTTATTTGATCATGAAGGATGGAGCCCAAACTGTTCTCCGAAGCCACTGTCGTCCCTCAGCTGTGCCAAATCCGCCTTTGATCTGCTAATCCTGAGTTTATAAGGTTAGGAGATAAGTGGGCGGAACGAAATTCTTTTCTCTTTTGGTCCTTCTAAGCGGCCTGAAACCCCCAAACATCATAGACCTCCTGGGCCCCAGCCTCCTCCCCGGGGATAACTCAGATGGTGCGTGAAGGGGGAGCACACAAGCTATCTGGGGCGGCAGGCACTCTGCACTGGATCTGCCTTCTTCCTCCTACTCCTCCTCCCCTTCTTTTCTTCTGCTCCTCCTCATGCACTGCCCTCCTCACACTGACCTGGGGCTCAGAAAACCCAGGAAGCCAATCCGGCCAGTGACCTCATCAAACTGCCGGGACCTGCTCCCTCTTGCCCTCTCTTTCATTTTATACACAGATCTGCCCTTCCATCTGGAGCCCTCCTGCCTGGTACTGACCCTGGGAGGCAGCAGAGATCCTATCCCTAGGAGAGGGATAAGACTTCAGGCCAAGTAAGCTCAAGTCAGATTTATGGTGCCCTTGCAGGAGAAAGCCCCCAGGGAGTGTTTATAACTCAGTGCAATGAAAAGCATGAGAGATTTGTAGTCAGACAGTTGTGATGTAAATCCCAGCTCAGGCCAGTTATGTGACCTTTGGGCAACCAGTTAACCTCTCTGAGCCTCCGTTTCTTTATTCATAAAATGGAGGATAATGATGGTAGCCACCATCCTTAATTGACTTCTCCCTGGAGAATCAAATGAAGTCACCTGCATCTTGGTGCAGAATAAGTGCTTCATAAAGGGCACTGGTGGTGATCACTTTTGTGATCCTCTGTAGGAACTCTTACAGCCTGCACCTGTGCAGTACCTCCCACTCACCCATCTGGTGGTGGGTCTGTGGCTGCTGTCCGCCCCCACAGACCCTGGAGACAAGTGGTGCTGCCCTGGCCACGATGCTGAGGCCAGTGGTGGGGGAGAAGTCCCAGGAAGCAGGACGGAGATAACATGGCCAGTGCTTCGAGGAAGATGGGGACAGTGGGCAGGTGCTCTGGTGAGCAGCTATAGTCACAGCTATAGCTGTGACTCTGAGGGCCACGGGAGAGAGGTTGGCAGGTCGGAAGGGGCCACTTCAGGATGGACAGGGGAAGAAGTTTCGTGGGTCCTCAAGAGACTTGGAAGGCAGTCGTCCTGACCTATTTTATGCCCTTTTGATGTAAAGAGGTTTCAAAGGCAAGGACTGATCCTAGACCGGGGGAAGGGTTAGGCTGAGGCAGACCAGCCTGCTTCTGTTCCCCCGGGGAGCGAGAGAAGCAGGGCCACTGCTTCGGGAATCTGCAGGCTGTACTCTCACCCTACTTCCCACCAGCTCTGAGTCGTGAGCTAAGGCCCTTCACGGGGAAGACATCACGTGGCTTCTTGCCTGCCTCTCCGTTTTTAAACTGCAAACTGGGAGCTCCCTGCGGCTGAGGCTCTTCCTTATTTACCTTTGGGTGACCCACCCATCAGCGGAGGGCACGCCTTTTAGAACATGAACATGAACTAGGTCAGACCCTATGCTCACATCTTGCAGTGGGGATGGGTGGGCTACCAGGCTCTCCTGAGATTTCTGGAAATTCTAGGCGCCAGCAGTTCCACGGTCACTGCTGGTGCTCACCCCCTGCCCCCCACCTCCCCTCCCACTTCATCTCTCCCCCATGACTGTGTCCTTGTCCCTGGACCAGTCCCAGAGCTCACCCAAACTCATTCCCCTACATCCCCCACAAACACCACTCACACCAGTCCCTCCTTGCCACAGCAGACTTTGCCGGTTGGCGGTTTCAGGAGGGTGAAGGTTCCATTATAGACACGGACCAGTTCAAATCCACGTTAGTCATCCTTACCTGGAAAAGCCCCTTAGCCCTGGCCCCTAAAGAAGTCTTTCCCTCAATACCTCTCTTTGTGAGCTCCTGCCATGCCAGCCCTACTATTTTTCTCCAGCTCACCCTTCATCCCTGCTAAACTCCTATGCAGAGTGATTCAGTTCATTGCTGTTTTGTGAGCATGCACTTCAAGGCTTTACCTCCACACACAAAGTGCCCCAGCAAGATGTTTTTTTAAACAAATATTTCCCTTTAATTGGGACTTTGGAACTAACTGTGAAATAGCTCCCTCCTCCTCAATTAGCTTGCATGCCAGTGCGTCCCCTCTCTGGGTCTGTCTTTCCCTCCTTTGTCCAGGGGGATCACCATCTCCTCTTTTCCATCCCACAGCCCTGCTGTTCGGGTTCAAGACAGAATAGCACACAAGGAAACAAAAGGACCACACGAATGTTCGAATCCTCCTTGGAATAAATATTCCGTGATAATAAAAACGGTGCTATAAAACTTTGGAAGAACTTTGGTCTTTTTGGTTTGGATCCCCAAGTAGGAAGTTTTTGACCTTGCTGACAAAATAGCTCTTTGCTCTCCCCACTGCTGAGATTTGCCAAATGCTGGAAGGACGGCACGGCCACTCTGAGGTTCCCTGTTAGAGAGGAGAAAATATGTCCGTCTCCTCTTATTTGGTCCCTCTGTGGGGAGAGGGTCTGTTTTATTCTCTCTCTCTCTCTCTCTCTCTCTCTTTTACCATTTGCAAATCTTCCTCTTGGCTTCCCTCACAGCTTGATAAGTGATTGGTTCTTGCTTTCAACATCAATAGCAAGGCATATATTTTTTTACTTATGCGCGATTCTGTGTCTAAGTTCTCGGGCATTCAGAGAAAACAATATAGTTCTCCTGCAGGAGGTAGACTGTGTAAATATATATTAGTTTGGGAAGAAGGAATGAGGAATGATAAAATATTCAGAAAGCAGTCTGTTCTTGAGGGATGTTATTCTGCACAGCCAGGGAGCAGATTAATGACACCGTTTGTGAGGAAGGGAGACCAGCCCCATAAAATATGTATTAGTGGGGATGGTGGTGGGATGGGCGGGGCTGTTTGGGGTTGGACGTGCAAGTCCCAGCCTCAGAATCTGGTGCCTACCCTTGGTCTCCCTCATCAGAGCTCCCAACAGCTGGCTCCAGGGCCTTGGAGGGCAAAAGCTTCAATGTGGGTGGGTGGTGACCATACCTAGATGGCCATGGGGGACCGGATGGGATTGTTTGGTAGGAGTACTAGGTGAAGAGTTGGGATGCTTGGCCCTACCACTAACCTGCTGTGTGGCCTTAGGCAAGTCACTTAATGTCTCTGAGTTTTTGTTTCTTCTACTATAAAGACAGATGATTCTTAATAAGGCTTCAGTGGCAGGAGGATGGGTAGAGGTTTTACTGGAAAGGAAGCAAGTTGGCAAAGTCCTACTTGCTAGGCCTCACCATCAGGAGTGCATTGTACATGGCATGAAGAAATTCTATGATAAGCCAGTTGAGGGTGTGGGGGGGGGATGGTAAGACCTCTAAAGACCCCACCTGAGTAACAAGGGATGGCCCTCAAATTGCCTTCTGAAGTGGACAGTGCTGGGGCGCCTGGGTGGCTCAGTCAGTTGAGCATCTGCCTTTGGCTCAGGTCATGGGTCGTGGGATTGAGCCCGGTGTTGGGCTCCCTGCTCAGTGGGTGGGGGAAGGGGGGCCGCTCCTCTTGCTCCCTCTGCCCCTCCCTTGCATTCTCTCTTATGCTCGCTCTCTTGTGCATGCTCTCTCTTAACTAAATAAATAAAACTTTTCAACAAATATAAAGTGGACAGTGCTGTTAAGGTTAGGGTTTTGTTGGGCTGAATAGGAGTGCAAGTTTGGGGCCAGAGCTGAATTACTTGGAGGAATGGCAGAGAGGGGGAGGCTGAGGGTGGCTAACACTGTTTGGCCTGTCTGCTAAGTCAAGAGTAGATAAATATTTACACTCTATCGGCCTGCCTGAGGGGCCTAGGTGTGTTGGACCAGGGCTGATCCTTTGGGTTCCTTCTACCTCAGACACCGCAGTTTCCTTTGTCCTGTTTCTACCCACCCCCAAATCAGGTCCTTCCCCAAGCTGAACTCTGCTGGATTTTGCTTTAATTACAAAGGGTGACCTCTTGTTACTCCCTGGGATTTCACGTAGCAATAGTAAAAAGCTTGTACAACCCATCGCATGTGCTAGGAATTGTGCTACAGGTATCCGGGATCTTCAGCAGGACAGGAGTTTCCTCCCAGATCTCCTCCCCTGCAGTGACCTTCGAAGGGGGATGGATCCCTCTGTCTTGTGTTGTTAGAAGAGGCCCAGAGCACTTAGAGAGTGCCATGTGCTTCTGGCTTCTCGAGCAGCTGGAGGACGGCCTGGGAGAAGGGCTCATTTTAGCACTCAAAGGTGGATAAGGCTGGATATCTTGTCCTGTTGAGCAGAGGGGAGAGGGCCCCACCCTCCACTTTGTGAGGATCTTGGAGGTATGACGAAGCTGCCACCTGCATGGAAAATTTCCCCTGGATACTGCTTTTGGGGGTGCTGACAGTCATGAGCTGTATGAAGTTGTAGAGGCACAAAGCTCTGGCCTTCACCCCATAGATGTAACAGGTACATCCCTTGCCCCTTCCAAATCCCCCCACACTGCACCTGTTCAGGCTGATGCTATGGCTCTCTACTGCACCCTCTATGGCTCTTTCTGGATGCTTTCTCTGGCTGCTGAGACTTTGCAGTAAAAGTACAAGGAAGTTGGTAGCCCTGGGATCACATTGCAACCAGAGACTGACAGCTTTCTCACCCCACTGGTGGGACACCTGAGGCATGCTGTATGCAGTCCCTGGTAGGAGTGAGCCTGGGCTGCCTACAGGTGACCTGCTCACGAATGCCCCCTGACCAGCTTCTGTGCCTCCCATCCCCATTCCCCTCAGGTGCTTCCTAGGACCACCCTCTCAATGAACTCTCTGCTTCAAAACCTGGTTTCAGGGTCTGCTTCTGGGAAGCCCCACTTAAGACAATAGCTGTAGCAGAATTTAAAAAAAATATGGGTTGAGGATGTAATCCACAGAAGCTGTTCACAAACGTTCTCAAAGTAAGAGAGCCTCATTGTATTGCCTCACCCTGGGACACTAGTGAATCCAGCCAACCTCTCCTGGGCACATAGCTCTTTCTTTTTTTTTCTTAATAAAAAAAAAATGCGGTTTCCCCTGTTGATAAACCACTTGTAATTTTCACACCATAAAACATAGACTTGTGGCTTGAGTTTCACAGTTTACTAGATGGTTCTCCATGCCTCTGACAGTTCTGATGTGTTTTTCTCCATGCCTCTGACAGTTCTGATGTATTTTCCTGTTATATCTATATATCAGGAAGGGGAGGCATATATAGCTTCCCCCTAAAGCTGTATTTGCTCATGCTCTCTCCCCCAGTCCATATCAAGCTGTCCCCAGAGGGAGCCCCCGTCACCTCTTCCAGTCCTAAGTCCAAAGGAGGATCATCTGTGGAGAATGACTATCAAGTTGGGCCAGCAGGAGGTGACTAAGGGTCAGGGGTGATGAAGGGGATTCAGAGATCTTTCCCAGATCGACTGTTGGCAAGTCTAAGACTTCACATGTGAATTGTCTGGTGGCACACAACTGAGTGGAGAATCTCATGGGATAGAGGTGGGACAAACCTTGAGATGGTTCATGGGCATCCAGAATGGGAAGAGAGGAGCCAGGCCATGGCCACATTTGACCCCTGGGCCTCTAGAAGGTATGGGGTAGATGTACAGGGTGCTGGGCTGGAGAGTAAGAGGTCACTGCCCAGAGGGCTAAGTCCTATGACTTTCTGTAAGATGAACAGGCAGGGGAATTGGGAAGGTCCTGGAGTTCCCTCTGATAGGGGCTGAGCTTACCTCCACCAACCAAGCATCCATGGCCACATCGGACTCCTGTGATGAGGAATGGGTTTAGTAGGGTGTCACCTGTGGGATACCTCCTGGCAATGTCTCTTGTGATAATGGCAGAACCATGTGATACTGTGTAAGTTGGTTTCCTGTAGCTTATCTGGAAGATGATCCCAGGAAACACCAGCAAAGGGGCAGGACAGTGATATGGTGGGCAGGGGGAGGGGGCAGCAATGTGACAAAGGGAAGGGCATGCTCTCAAGCAAGTTAGGACCCCGGGGACGAATGGGACTTACCCTGCTGGGAACCCTATGAGCCAGTGTAGAACATGCACTTCTGGTGATCCCATTTCCCGCGCGAGAGGGAGCCGGGGTATTTACATACCACCTCCCCTCTGACACAGATCCAGAGCTGCTCTGGGGCACTGTGGATTTCTCAGCACTGCTGGCCTGTGGCTGGAGAAGACCTGTGGGACTCTGGCCATCAGAGAAAACCTTCAGGTAGGGCAGCATGTGTGCTAACAGCGGGAAAGACCTAGAGGTTATGGGCTGGGCAGCAACAACCTCTACTACACGCTGGCCCCAAACCTCACCATTGCTTAAACAGAGCCAGCCCCAAGCTTCAAGGTCCTGATCACTCTGCCAGGCTCACTCTCATCCCGCAGCCCCTGTTCACAGTGGTCCTTTATCATTTCTTCTCTCACACATCACTGTTCTTCTCCATCCTCCCACTTCTCCTGCACCATCAGCCGCAACCCCTCCTCCTTCTTAGGACCCCAGCTCTTAGCACCCCAGAGGCCTCCAGGAACACTGACCGCCTGCAGCACTCACCTGGTCCCAACCCAGGCGGGTCAGGCGGGTCAGGCGGGTCAGGCGGGTCAGGCGGGTCAGGCGGGTGTTTTCTTTCCCGGCTTGGGTTGGTTGGTATGGCTTGTTTCCTCAGAGAGATAGCACCCTTGCGTCTAATACAGCTCTGAGTCGCAGTGGCCAGAACAGCATCAGATGCATAGTAGGTGCTCAGTAAGTGCGTATTGTTTTTGCTGATGACATGGGGATGATGGTGGTGAAGACGATGGGGCCACCAATGAGCTGCTCACAGGTCTCACTCTGTAGCTAACTTGCTCTGTTTCTTCTGACAGGTCATGTCATCTCTCTGAATACGTTCTCCTGTAACAGACCCTTTCTTGCTAGTTGTTTTAAATGGTTCCCTTTCCTCCTGGGAACTCAGTGAACCCACCCATGTACCCCTGCAACCTTGGCGGTTAGGATTAGCTGTGGGACTGAGCAATGAAATATGGCAAAAGTGACGCTCCCACCTCCGGGCTTGTGCTGTAAACCATCCCAGGCGTGACCCTTCACTGCCTTCCTCCATCTTCCACTAAAGGTGGAGGAAGCCTGGCTGTTGGCATCACCGAAGAAGAGCTGCCCAGGAGTCCCCCACTCACGGACACCGCCATGGGGCTACCGTGTGGGTAGGAAAGTGTTACTGTGGCAAGCCACTGACGTTTAAGGACAATTGCTTCAGTCTAACTCTAATGTGGAAATGTTTAAAAAATGAGAATAGTATCAATATCAATGGGCTGTCGCCAACATGAATACTATAGCCTGCTTAGAAGATGCTATACTAGTTTCCTAGGGCTGCCATCACAAAGGACCACAGGCTGGGCGGCTTAAGCAACAGAAATGTCTTTCTTAGTTCTAGAGGCCGGAAGTCCGAGATCAAGGTGTGGGCAGGGTTGGCTTCCTCTGAGGCTTCTCTTCTTGGCTTGTAGATATTTGCCTTCTCCCCATGTGTCTTCACCTCGTCTCCCCCCCTGGATGTCTGTGTTCAAATTCCCCCCTCTTATAAGGACACTGTCATATGGATAAGGGCCCACCCTCATGACCTTACTTCACCTCGCCTCTTTAAAGATCCTATTTCCAAATAGGGTCACCTTCTGAGGTGCTAGGGGTTAGGACTTCCAACTATGAATTTGGGGGACACAATCTGACCCATAGGAGGAGCTCAGGAAATCTTCCTTGCTTTCCTCTCCAGGAAATTCTAAGACACTCCAGTAATTAATAATGATGTCAACAGCCCATCCAACTTGCTCTGAAATATAGTGTCTAGGAATATCGCACTGGCCCTTCATCCAAAGTCTAATTGTCTGAAAGAACTGCATCCAAGATGCTGTGACTCCGTGAGATGAAACACAACAAGTGCGACGCTGCTCGGGAAGCAAGTGTTCAAGGTAGGTTTGGTGCTGGTGGTGGTGGGGTGCCAGCGAAATGGACCGTGCAGTGGGCTCGCACTTGACTTCATCTGTATTTCCATAGGGCTTTAAGGACCAAGTCACAGTAATGATGTCAACCTCGAACAATTTCTTGAGCGCTTACCGTCAGCCACTTGTCTAAGCATTCCCTGCGAGTCATGTCACTGGGTTCTCTCTAAATGGGTTCTCTGGTTATTTCCATTGAAAGAGAGGCGCAGAGCTGAGGCCGCTAGCTCAAGTTCACGCAGCAAGGGAGAGGCAGGAATGGTGGGTGGGGCCAGTGGCTGTGGGTTGCCTGGAGAACGCGTTTGCTCGTTTGCTGAAAGATGCAGATGTTGCTTCTTTGATCGGGTGCCGGTCACACCAACCACACGGGCGCCTGACATCCCCCCCCCCCAATTCCCCCAGCTCCATGGCTGGGGTTGGAGCCCTGCCCTCTCCTGCCTTCAGGACAAGAAAGCCCCCTCCAGCCTCCTTCAGTGTCATCCTGCAGTCTGGCCACCCTCCCTGTCACCGCGCCAGCGGCTGGGAGCTTTCATTCAAGTGGAATTGAGCCGAGGACTTTTGTAGCACTTCATTTACATGTATGCCAACAAGCTGAAATGTGCAGCAACCTTGGAACACTTTCAAAGGCAGGAATAATTCCTCTGAAATAGGTCTTCCGAAAGCTTTATCTTGTCCTTTCTTTTTTTGTTAATCTTGGAGCCCCTTAGCATGTCAAAGCAATTTTTCTAATGTCACATCTCTTAGACATTAGCATGAAAGGGCTTTAAGAGATGATTTGAAAAAGAATAAATGTTGAATGAGCATTTATTATAGAGTCGCTTATGCTACATTTACATTTTGACTCTGTTTCTGCCGTGTGGGCTGGAGAAGCAGGCTGATTTGAAAGTCAATGGTGTCTAAATAGGCGTTCGCTACAACTCTGTTTACACTCAGCTGTTTCCTCTGTGCATTAATTTACAGAAAGAGAAGATTTCATTAGGCTGATTTGTCCCGGGGAATGAGATTAAGCAGAGCGTGCGCACCTCACACAGAGGTGGGATTCCCAGCAGGAGTCGACCCCGTCGTCAAGAGGCCATGGGGCAAAGGTAAGGGAAGCCCATGCTAAGGGCTTTCTGCACACCTCTTAGTAAATTAATTAGCAGGGTCCTGTCCTTTCTTCAGGAAGCTGGCCTGGCCCAAACGGCATAGTGCAGTGGTTAGAGCCCAGCCTGAGAACAGGGAACAACATGGGGTGTGACCACATGCTCTGTCACTCCCTGAGACCCAGGGCAACAGATTTGAATCTGTTTTCTCATCCAAACCACGGCCATAATCTCTGTCCACATCTCACAGGGCTGATACGAGAGCGGAATGGTGATGGAAAGTGTCTAGTGCTGGGCCGGGCACCTGGGAAGTACTCAATCAATATTGGCTGCTTTTATCATTTTGATTGGGTTTTTTTTTTTTTTGGTCTGTAGAACTTGGCCAAAGTTCCAGACAAATGACTCTGGTTTGTGGCAAGTATAGATTTTTTCCACCTTTGCGTCATTCTGTGGGTTCCAACCACAGGCAGGTCTCTGGGTGTGAGTGCGTTCTGGGGCAGATGGGTGTTGCAAAGACTGTTAGACTCTTTGTGTGAATGCACGTGTGTGTGTATGTGTGTGTGTGCGTGTGCGCGTGTATGATTGAGAGAGAGAGGGTGAGAGAGGCAGAGAGGTCAGCTCAGTACATGGGGACATTCCCCCAGATTTGAGCACCCAGCCCCAGCTCTTCCCAGCCCTGGGTAACCTCTGTCACTCCACTTCCCTGCAAGTTTCTCTCTGCATTTGTCACCGCGCTCAACCTTACGCTCCTCGAGGGCAGGAAATGGCTCTTAGTAACTTTTGTCAAAATCAGCCCTTCAGTTAACGCACAAAGAATTCACACTCAGTCAAGTCTGTGGTACTTTTTCAAGCTTGATTTCTCGAAGCCACCTCACTCTTAGGTGGGGGTCCAATCCATGCCGGCTCAGAGGGCAGTGCTGGCTGCAGCAGGGGTAGGGGGTGGAGGACCAGATCCCTGTCCTCTGAGCAGGCCTTCCCCTGGCCCCAGCACTTTGGGGCACAGGAGCAAACCCCCTCTCCCCCAATCTGCCCCAAACTAGATCATCCCCTTCATTTCACAGGTCAAGGAAGCTGAGCTCCATTCAGAGGGGGAGGCTTCACTTACCCTGTGATCACACAAGCCGGCTGGTTGAGTTCGGCCTAGTATCCAGGTCCAGTGAGGCTGGCCCAGCTCCCTTGGCAGCCTGCCAGGCCTCCTCTCAACCGTGTTCCACCTCCCCTGTGGGGCTGGATTCTTTCTGGAATAGTCCCTAAAGCCAGCCAGAGGCCAGGTGGCTCAGCCCGCTCTGGCTCTCATCCTGAGCCTCCTGCTACCCCATGTTCCATCCCCGAGTCCTGCCCTCCATCTGGCAGTGCCCCCAACTGCTCTCTAGGCCCCATGGGGCTGAGACTTGGGCCCTAAATAGATCTCTCACTCCCCTGTCCCTGTTTTCTTAGTTTTAAAAATTGTTTTATTATTTTTATTTTTATAAAGCAGTGACAGCTGTAGTGCTTCTTGAGCATCTATTACGTGCAGGGTGCTGCCCGAGACCCCATTCCTGCAAGGCAGACACTGTTGCCCAACATCTTGCAGATGAATGTGCAAGGTTACACAGCTCAGCCCCAGAGGCAGGATTTGAACACAGTTCAGCAGTCTGGCTCACTCTAGGACTCCCTAGTTGTCAGGTGGCCAGGCCACTTCCACACAAGTATCTCCTACATTTCCCTAATCCCTGAGCCTTCTGAGGGTGGCATCTGCCCTGCTTGATCTCGTTCCCCAGGGCCTTCTGAGCTCAAGGTTGAGAATGTCCCAAAGTCCCTCAATTCAGACTCACTGGCTTGATTTGAAGAGGTGATTATTTCCACCACCATCTCCATCTTCTGAAGGACTCAATCCCAGCCACTGCCCTGAGTGTGATCCCTACACTACACACAGAGTGCCTATGAGGAGAACCCAGGACCATAGGATGCGACTCAATGTCCCACTGAGTCTGGCAGAGCTGGGACAACCAGCTCTGTCACTAACCAGCTGTGTGATTCTGGGCAAGTAACTTAACCCCTCTGAGCTTCATTTCCTTCTTCAAATGGGGATAATAAACAAGCTGTTCCTCATCCCTGGGTCTCTGTTTCTTCTTTTATAAAACCGAGGTTGGATGGTCCATTTCTAAAGTCCCGTTTGGCTTAATGGGTCTCAGACCCCCTGGTGCTGGATTGGGATTCGCTCTTCTCTTCGCGTCCAAGAAGAGAAAACAGTCCCACCAGGGCTCCCACCCCACAAGAAAGCCCCAGCAGTCCTAGAGCAGATCTGCAACCCGGGGTGCATCCTCCTTGCTCTGTAGGAAAAGAAGGAAAGGTGCCAATCAGAAGCTGCTTGAAAATGTAATCGTAAGTTTTGGCCTAGGAGGGGAGATTGAGGTGGGGGTGGTGGAGAGGAAGGGAGAGATTGAGAGTGAGAGAGAGAGAGAGAGGAGAAGAAAGCCCACTTCAAGGCCAGTTCCCCTCCCCTGGCTGGAAACCTGTGTGTATGCACGGATGAAGGGAACAGAGCAGAAGCAAAGGCTGGCCTTCTGATGGAGCATGTGGTGCCCACTTTGAACGATGGCCTTTGTGCCTGCCTATTCAGGGCGGCCTCAGGACAATGGGGGGCAGACACGCAGGGGAGCACAATGACAGGGACATTGCTGCCTGCCGCTTTGCATTCCCTTTGAAGTGGCTCTGCCCTGGGCCCCCGCAGGCTCCAAAAAGAATGCTTTTGTTGCCCGCTCCAAAGATGCTGTAAGATGCTGAGCAAAAGTAACCGGAGGGGATCTGCTCGATTAAAAAAAAAAATTAAAGATAAGAAACAAATCAAGCTGGCCACGTGGGGGCTGGCGGCAGCTTTGAACCCTGAGAAGAGAAGGGACATCGTGATCCAATCCTATCTCCCCTCCCTCCGGGGAAGTGACTGACTTCTGGGGGGTCACTCTCAATGGAGACTGGGGGCCAGGGTGGGCAGTCCTAGCTTGCTGGGGTCTCCTAGAAGTTCTCCAAAGCTGGAGCTGGGACTCTGAGAGCCCACTCCAGTGCTGGTGCTTGGGCAGAAAAATGCTGGAGGCAAACCCCACAAGAACTGTACTGTTTACTGCGTGCCAGGCATGGGGCTAAGCGCTTGCTTTATTGTCTGTGTGACTACCTTAAAAATGCTTCGCTATTAATCATGTGATGAATGCGTGCACACATGATAACTCCACATCGTAGTGGGGGAGGTCAGCGTCAGAACTACCTGACTCAGGAGACTATGTTGTTGGGTCCAGGGCTGTGGGGGGTGTAGGCAGAGCAGGTTGAGCGTTGAAACATTCTAGGGGGTGCCATTTGTCCCGGGGTCCTGTTGTGGTACCTCCTGGAGTTATGCAGTGTACAACCTGTACCTCTGTACATGGTGCCCCTGCCAGGGATGGTGAAGTATTATATGAAGGGTCCTCATCAGGAATCCACACCTTAAAATATTGTTATCAAAATCAACACCAAGGATGTGTGTATTAGCGTGAGGCTTGTGAGAAGCAGTCTTTTCCTTGGTGACAAGAATGGAATTCGATGTAGGTGGTTGGTTGGTAAGGTTGGATAGGCCCTACTGCCTGTGAAAACTGAGGTGTAAGCCCTGGGAAGCCCAGCAGTCTAATACTGGCTCAGCACAGTGTCTAGGTCATTTCAAGTGCTCAGTAGTTGTTATAATTACCTCCATCCTACTGCTGAGGGGGCTGAGGCTCGGGAGGTGAAACAGCTTGCCCAAGCACACACGGCAGGCAAGGGTGGTCTTGGCCCTCCAGCTGTGGCCTAGCCTGACTCCGAGAGGATGCCCTCTTTGGGGGTAACAGTCAAATCAGGGCTTTGTGAACCTCAGGCCACATGTATAAGGGCCCCCAGCTCAACAGTATCAGGTGCCTTGACCTTGAGTCCCTGGTCCATCAGACCTTTTGGACCTGCCCTGAACATCCAGGGAACTCTTTGTGCCTGCCATGCCCTGGGTGCCCCAAAGGTACTTCTTCCACAAACGTGCAGAACCAAAGAAGATCTTGGATTAGTGGGCAATCATCTAGGGCCCTTTATATCATTTCTGGGCCCCCAGCCCCGCTTCTGTGCTGGCTCCTCTTTGGAAGACTCCTTGGGGTGGCAGCTCTCTTGGTCTACATGGTGGGGAGCCTGAAGAGCCTGGGAGCTTGCCCTCTGCTAGCACGGGAGTGTGAAAGCTCCCCTGCGGGATTGGGTGGAAGCTGCTCTCTGTGGGGCTGAGCCCGAAATCATTCATTGCTTGGTCCTGCCCTTCCCCGCCCCGTTTCCCCCATTCCCTTGCTGGTCTTTCCCCAGAGCACCCCCTGAACATACTGCACGCGCCCGGCCCGAATCCTCACCTTGGCGTCTGCTCCGGGGGATGCTGACCTAAGACTGCCGCACCCCCAGAAAGCCCACTTAGCACAAGAAGTCCCAGTGTGCGCCAGCGGCAAGTGGCCCAAGGCTGCACGCTCTGCTTGGGGGGCCTCCAGGAGGTCTCGATGCCCTGACTGCCTTCCTGATGCTCTCAGGGAAGCCCTTCTTCTCCTTCCCCTAGTGAGTGGCTGAGTGAAGACTTGAACCCCAGGGTTCTGCCACAAGTCTATGGCTTAAAAACAAACAGCACCTCTTCCCCCGCAGACACCCCAGCACATCTACTGTCTGTAGGCCCTGTGCCTGGGACTTTCCTGATGACCTTCTTTTCCAAGTTCTTCCTTCCCACTGGCCCACAGGTGAGCAACAGGCCAAGAGAGACACAGAAGCCACATCATGGACAGAGACTGAGATGACAGGAAGCAGAGGGCCTGAGAGCCCAAGAGGGGTCATGGGAGCCCAGGGGTCAGTGCTTTTTCTGTCTGTCTGTCTGCCTGCCAGCGTCTCTGGGTAACTAGTCCCGTTCAGACTCCCTGGAAAACCTGGCAGCTCTGGCTTTGCTGGCCTCTTGGATAGGCGTCCAAGCCTTAATCCCTAGGGCTGCTGTTTTGGACTTCCCCAGG